AGATATTGCATTTTACTCTAGCTTGTTTTCAAAAAGGGATTATAATGACAAAAAATACATTTTATGGTTTTAAAAATGCCATAACATTAACATGGTAAAATTATCTGTACAATAGAAAACAGAATTATAAAGAGGAAACATTAGGCTTCTTGATGCATTAATTTCACTTGCATAGGAACACTTGTTTGCGAGATATTGCTCCTAAAAGAAAGAAAATCAAGGGTAAATTGTGACAAAAAATTTCAACGAGCCTCTGTCAGCCTAGCAGCAATACAAATGAATGGAGGTTGGGCTACGCCCACGCTTCCGTTTCCAATCCCTGTCATTTAATATCTATGGACGGACGGACGGACCCGCCCCGCCCGAAAAGGACGGACTGATGCGGACCCGACAGGACCATAAATATCCATGTAAAGGGCAATCATTCGTGGATGGTCTGTCTATAAGACACTTCTATACTTGGACAATAAATTTATGTACGTAGTAACTATGCTAGGACCAATAGAAGAGGTCATGTTAGCGAAAATGTAACTTTATCAATGCAAGATTGCTACTACAGGCATGAAGCATCACAATACTGAACCATCACTTGAATTCTATTTGTTATTCTTAATAGGAGTTCAGTGACACCATTTTAATGATTTTTCTATATTACTTGGTCCAAGTCTAATAATAAACATAGTGAAATTTTATGATTAATTTTTATCAGCTATTGCATGCAACACTATACTGAGATACTGATTTCATTTAATTACACATTTCAATTAAAATTATAATAGTTTGATATCCTTGAAATCACTGCTCTTTAAAGATAAGGAGACCCTTTAAAATAGTTATATTGAGCTTTAGAATCTAGCCTAAAAAGTAGTTATCCTGCATAATAAATATAAAAATTATACAGTTACTTCTAGTATATTTATTTTAGTCATACCTGGGCTAGGAATGCCATACTTTTTTTGCAAATCCCTTTTCAATGCTTGTAAATCATTGTAAAGAGTTGCTCAGCACTAAGCAACTCTGGTTGCAACGCTAATAGTTATTGTCTTCCACCTATATAAAAATGATTATCCATTTCAATAGCAAATTCTACCTGAAACTGTGAAGCATGAGAGTCATAAGCCATTGCCTCAAAAATTTTGAAGTTATCTAATTAACAATGTTATGACAGAGCATAACCATTACAATAGAATTTGGACAACATATTGGAGCACTCCATCACAACACAGTATGATGTATAGGCAAACTAAAAGTCAATTAATTTTAACAATAACATATTAGATATGCATAATTTGCACAGATAAGCACCACAATCAATGGAACTGTCTTGTTTGGGTACAAACTGTTGCAATAATAAACTAAAATTTTTAAGTTTGTACATACCACTTCATAGTATATTTGTATAGTTTGAAAAGTTAAACTTCTGTGTGTGCACCCCTACCTTTTTTTCAAATACATTGACAACACACTATTCAATTTGAACAACAAAACATTAATTCAAATAAAATTTTGATTCATACCAGCACTTGCTTGTTTTGTCACAGTAAAATATTTTTCAATAGAATCAAAATTAAAAAATTGATTTATGATGCTTAATAACCTATAGAAATCTGCTATTAATATTGTAGA